CTTGCAACTGAAACTTAAATTTCTCTTCAAGTTGTACTGCATTTTTCTTATTTTCTAAAATCAGCAGGTTTCACTGTCACATGAAGAGGGAAACAATAATTTTCTGTCCTCATTAATACTGGTTGTTAAACAGTGAGTGCTAATTGCCTCACTTTAATAACTGACTTGGAGGAGTAACTGACCTCAACTGTATAAAAAAAACATACATATTGCACTACTTAAGAGAGCTCCTCTCATCAATTTTAAAATTTAATTTTAATCCACTAATTCCCTCAGGCTACTTTTATCTCTCCAAGTGAGAAATGTTATTGCTGGGAGACAGTATTTTTTTTCCATTACAAGCATCCAGTGTCAGCAGTCAGGTGCAAAATAAAATGCTCTCTATTCTGTCCCAAACTCAAAAAGAACATCTCCAGTACAGGCGTAAAGTGTAAGTATATCCCATTTCAATCTCGGTGCAAATAGAATCATTGGCTTTGTGTCCAGTGGAATAGAGTATAAAAATATGAAAGTCATGTTATGTGAACATAAAAGTTTAGACCATATTTGGAGTACTGCGTATAGTTTTGGTCGCCAAACTACAGGAAGTAGCATGAGTGCAGCAATGTAGATGAACTGGAATGCTAGCAGGGATGAGTAGATACATCTTTTAGGAAGATTGGACAGAGCTTTTCTTGTTAGATTGTTAGAACGTTTCTCACTGAAGAGACAAATGAAAGGTAACCCCAATGGATGAGTTAAAAATTATGAAAGGATTGTATAACAAGCCCATTAATACGCCATTTCCACTTGTTGGTGAATCCAAAACAAAAGGGCATAAATATGACAGCGAGCAGCAGGTTTAAAATGGAGTTTTGGAGGAACTTCTTTACACAGAGGGTGGTGAGAGTATGGAAGCTGTGGTTGAAGCAGAAAGCGTCAACGTATTTGAGAGGGCACTTGGTCTATACACTAGGGAGAAGGGAAAAGATGGCTACAAAAGAGGGGAACAGTAGGGATGGATGATTATGTGGAGTATGAATTCTAGATCAAACCAGTTGGGCGAAATGGTCTGTTTCTGTGCTGGAGCACATAATGTAATTCTGTATAGCATGTGTTCCATTTCCAACCTCGCCCGACTCCGCTGGCTACCCATCACACAGAGGATACAGTTCAAGATCCTGGCCATCCATCACCTTCCTCACCCCTACCTCTGCGACCTTCTGACCCCCTACCAACCTGCCCACGCACTCCCCTCAGCATACTCCAGCCTGCTTCACGTCCCCTGCCTCTCCTGCTCTACCATTGGTGGGCGGGCCTTCTGCCACTCTGCCCCCACTCTCTGGAGCTCCATCCCGCAGTCCCTCCGCCTCGTTCCCTCCCTTGCCTCCTTCAAAACCCATCTCAAGACCCTCCTCTTCGACAGTACCTTCGGTCACCCTCCTTCCCCCCCCCTGCTCTCCACCCTCCCCAATCCCAACCCCCAGCTCTGGTCCAAAACACTGATTGTCCAGCATCTTGAGACGTCCTCCCGACATGAAAGGCGCTATACAAATGTAATCTTGTTGTTGTTCCCATTTCCACACCAGCACAGGATAAATGTGCTGCATTTCCATCCCAGGATAGTTTAAACGTGTTCCATTTCTGTGCTTTATTCAATTGAGATTGAAGAATTTAAAGGTGAGTGGAGGAGGTTATTCCCTCATCTTCTCAAGATGTTCTTGTTCTATAGGATTTACTGTGAAGTATAGTATCTGTGTATTTTGAAGGCAACTGCAGTAGCTATTTTTGTGCAAAATTGAGAAAAACGTATCCTTAACAACTGGATTTCAGAAGCTACCACTGTAACGGTCTATCAACTTAGCCATTATATGGGGAGACTTTCCATCTGGATCTACATTTACTCAATGCAGCATTTTAGAGGATCGAAATTTGTCAAATTCTTAAATGCAACCTTAATTTTTAAACCATTTTTCTGCAAGTCAGTTTAAGAAACAGATTACAAGTTAAAATTGAATCCAATATTTGCTAATTTCTGGATGCCCTAAAATGCGACATAAATAGAGTAAGTTTAGGCCCAGGATGGAGTTCTCCTTAATAGTTCTTACAATAATATCGCACGCATTGAACACTTAACCAAAAGCAGAAAGAGAAAGACAATTTTACAACCTGTTGCATAAATCTTTTCACCCAACAGGGCTTGGTACCAAAACAATAATATACTTCAAACACAGTGTTTTTTTTAAGAGAATGGGCAAGAATGAAACTGTGTAAGAGGGGAGGCCAACATTGCTAACCTCTGCTGACACGCAAAAGGAGAATTGAGAACTCTGATGATATGTTGTAATAAAGGTGTTCTGTTGCTGCACTGAATTTCTAGATGCTAATATTGGGAGGAAGTAGCAGCAAATTATTCATTTTGGTAACATAAACAAGCATTCATTTTTGCACTAATAAGGCCTGTGAACTGATTTGTAAGCCGTGTCCCAGAGGTGAGAGGGCAAAATTCCAGCCCACTTCAACACACCTTCTTAACCCCCAAAACAATATTGCAACATATAGCATATTCACTCTTTAATACCCACCCTCCCTGCCATCTTCTCAGTCACACTCCATATTTTAAAACCTTCACAAATTTCTGTAATCCCAAAACGAAAAGGGGTCGAGAGAGAGGGAATCAGACTTTAATATTAGCTACGGGCCTGCAATTCGTTTCAACTCCTAACTTGTCTGCTACAGGCTGAGGCCCATAGGATGTTTGTTTTTATTTTGTGTGCATCGGTGCTAACTAGACCCCCCCAGTGGCATTGTGGCCAACGAGCAAATGGACAGACTTTGAGATCATCACATTTTTCCTTTGTTGTAAATAAACTTTTGGACTGCTGGCCTTCCCTCTTACTCATCATCATTCGTGCCCCTTTCTTCTCTGTTCACTGATTTTCTGCTTCATAGTGGTTCTCTCAATGATCAACTCTTTCTCGACCACTGTTTCTGCACTCACCTTTAATCCCTCCCAATCACTTGTCTCCCTATCCGTCACCCTTTATACCCTCCTCTCTTGACTCACCCTCATTCCCCCCTCATTCTCTCGCCCTCTCCTTCTGTCACTCTCACTTTCCCCCCAAAATCTATCACTCTCTCTCCCCACTATCTTGTCATTTACTCTCGCCCCCCCCCACCCCATCCGTTACTCCCCTTCTCCCCCCGTCCGTCACTCCCACTCTCTCTCTTCCCCACCAACCACCCCATCTGTCACTCTCTCCCCCACACATAGGTCTGCCACTCTCTCTCTGTTATGTGTGTGTGTCTTTCTCTGTTGTTGTGTGTCTCTCTCTGGTGTGTGTGTGTGTGTGTGTGTGTGTATGTATGTATGTATGTCTCTCTCATGTGTATGTCTCTCATGCGTGTGTGCCTCTGTTGTCTGTGCGTCTCTGTCTGTGCTTGTGTGTCTCTCTCTGTTGTGTATGTGTATCTCTCTCTGTTTATGTATGTATGTATGTATGTATGTATGTATGTATGTATGTATGTATGTATGTCTGTATGTCTGTATGTCTTGTATGTGTGTGTATATATATCGCTGTATATGTATCTCTGTATGCGTGTCTTGTATGTATGTATAAGTATCTCTTGTGTATGTCATGTATGCATGTATGTATGTATATCGTTTTGTATGTATGTGTATGTATCTCTGTGTGTGTGTATGCATGTGTATATATATAGCAGTGTATGAATGCCTTGCATTTATGTATATATTGCTGTGTGTGCATGTATTTGTGTGTATCTCTGTATGTCTTGTATGTATGTATATATATCGCTGTGTATGTATGTGTGTATATATGTGTGCCTCTGTGTGTATGTCTTGTATGTATGTATATATCGCTGTATGTATGTATGTTTGCATGTATGTGTATCGCTGTGGTCTGTGTGTGTGTCTGGATGGATATGTGTACCTCTGTGTGTATATCTTGTATGTATGTGACTCTCTGTGTGTATGTCTTGTATGTGTGTGTGTGTGTATGTCTTGTGTGTGTACATATGTGTATCTCTGTGTTATGTCTTGTAGGTATGTATGTACATTGCTGTATGTATGTATGTATGTATGTATGTATGTATGTGTGTATATATGTATGTGTGTGTATATGCATGTGTGTATGTGTGTCTGTGTGTGTGTGGCTGTGTGTGTATGTATTTGTGTGTGTGTATGTATGTCTGCGTGTGTGTGTCTGTGTGTTTCGGTGTGTGTATATGTGTATGTGTATATGTGTATATGTGTGTGTATGTCTGTGTGTGTCTGTGTGTGTGGCTGTGTATGTATTTGTGTGTGTGTGTCTGTGTGTTTCTGTGTGTGTATATGTGTGTGTGTGCCTGTGTGTGTGTGTGCCTGTGTGTGTGTGTGCCTGTGTGTGTGTGTGCCTGTGTGTGTGTGTGCCTGTGTGTGTGTGTCTGTGTGTGTGTGCCTGTGTGTGTGTGTGCCTGTGTGTGTATGTCTGTGTGTCTGTGTATGTATGTGTGTATGTGTGTGTATGTATGTATGTGTGTGTGTGCCTGTGTATGTGACTGTGTATGTGTATGTGTGTGTGTGCCTGTGTGTGTGTGTATGTATGTCTGTGTGTCTGTCTGTGTGTCTGTGTATGTATGTGTGTTGGTGTGTGTGTGTGTGTGTGCCTGTGTATGCGTGTGCATGGTGTGTGTATGTGTGTGTGTGTATGTGTGTGTATGTGTGTGTGTGCCTGTGTGTGTGTGTATGTATGTATGTGTGTGTGTGTATGTCTGTGTGTCTGTGTATGTATGTGTGTGTGTGCCTGTGTGTGTGTGCCTGTGTATGTGGCTGTGTATGTGTGTGTGTGCCTGTGTGTGTGTGTCTGTGTGTGCCTGTGTGTGTATGTCTGTGTGTCTGTGTATGTGTGTGTATGTATGTATGTGTGTGTATGTATGTGTGTGTGTGTGTATGTCTGTGTGTGTGTGCCTGTGTGTGTGTATGTATATGTATATATGTGTGTGTGTGTGTGTGTGTGGCTCACCCTCGTTCTTGCCGAGGATGCGGCAGCACAGGCTCTGGAGGAGAACATTGGGTGACCTGTGTTCCAGGTTGGCCATTGTTGACGTGTTCCGCGTGAGTCCGGGTCCGGGTCCGCTCTCCGCTCTCAGTTCGGCGGCGCCATTTTCCCCCCTCAGCCCCGCCGAAAGTGACCCACAATGCCTTTCACCGGGGAACACGTCCCGCCCTGTCCGGCTTCCCCCCGGCAACAGGAACCAGAACATCAGTTCCTGACTGTAACCCGTGAGCCGCCATTCGGTCCCCGCCGACACCGAGCGCCGCCGACAAACAAAACAGCTGCGTTTGAGCTTTGAGCTCCGCGCCTCCCCGGTGGCTTAATTGCTTTATTTAGAATAAATAAATTAGGTTGGGAACGGAGCTGCCCCCCCCCCCTGTCGATTTATAAGTGGTCCTTGGATTTGAAACGACAACTTGCATTTATCCGGCGGGGCTCACAGGGGGCGGAGGTCGGTCACTGAGTCGAAATGGGTCCTGGTGAAGCCTGTGGGTCAGTGGGTCAGTGGGGTGGGTGTCTGACACATGCAGGAACCCACCGCCGTGCTTCAGAGCGTCCCAAGTTGGCTGCCGCGTTTCGCCCGCAAAATAACGAGTCGATTCACTTTACGGTGCATTGTGTGAAACGCTTTTGAGACGTCGCGGGGACGTGGTGAGGCGCCGTATTAAATGCAGGGATTATTATTATTATTATTATTATTATTATTATTAGCGTTTCCCTGCATCCCACCTACACCTGGACATCCCGCAGGTGGATTGTTGGAAATGGTGTGCACACTCTCAAGCATCCTGCTCACCTAATTCAGCAACAACAACAACAACAAGATTCCATTTATAAAGCGCCTTTCACGTCAGGAGGACGTCCCAAGGCGCTGCACAGTTGGGTCATGACCCGAGCATTGGGGGGAAATGGTCAGGGTGAGGGGAGGGAGCGAGGAGGGGGGAAATGGTCAGGGTGAGGGAAGGGAGGGAGCGAGGAGGGGGAAGAGAGTCGAGAGGGGAGCTGAAGGCTCGGTCAAAGAGAAAGAGAAAATTCAAGAAAGTATTAGGCGCAGGTTGGCAAGAGCCAAGACCTGGGCACCCCAGAGTGTGCGTTGGGGTAACTGCTGGAGGCTAACCAGCTAAAAGCGCATAGCTTGCCATTGATATCGCTGTCTGGCAAGCTTTCCATCTGGGGCCACCCGTTAGGGCATTGGGTTGCAGGATTAACAGGAGATAGAAAGACGAGGCGAGGGATTGAGGCGGAGTTTCAGAGGTTCGTAGCTAAAGGCTCAGCCATAAATTGCCAGATTGGGTGGGCTTTTGTTATACTGCGTGACAAAAATGGCTTTGGACGGGTGCCTAATTCTAACATTTTTAATTTAAACCTGCTAAACTTAGCCCCCACCCCCCCACTCCTTGAAGACCTTTTTTTACACAGTTGCAAAAGCACAAACCTAAATTGGCCTCTCTGCTACCCGTAGTTATAGATACATAATATTGGGCACCTTTTGAGCTAGTGTTTGATTTTGTATGTATTTTAATTTCTCGCCACCCTGCACAGCCACTGACAGTAGTGTGGAGAGAGCAGGGTATGAGCAGCAGGTCTGTATCACCTGAGCGCGTGGGGGGAATGAGGGGAGCTGTGGTATAGGGGCAGAGGAGTGGGGTATGTGCAGATCAGAGAGATAGGGGTGTGCTTGGAGGGCTTTATATGTGAGAGGTGAGGATTTTTAAATAAATTGTCAGTAATGTTCAGGAGCTTTTTAAAAAAAATTGCATTATCTGGTTAAGAGAGGGTGGAAAACTGCAAGCAACAACAACAACTTGACTTTATATAGCGCCCCTCACACAGGGTAGCGGGCCAGAGCAAAAACAAAAGGGGTTGGCCATGTGGATAACTAGAATAGGAGCGTTCTTACCCTCCTAGGGCCATTGAAGAAGGAACTGCCTTATATCAAGTCTGAAAACAGGCCTCAGAAAAAACCCATCGGCAGAATAAGAGTGATTATAGTTATTGTCCTTGTGTCTGATAATGCACCTTATCACCACATCACAACGTTTCAAAGCACTTCATTGGAATTTTACTGTGTGACAAGTGACTGTATTTGTAGGCAAATGCAACATTCCAGAAGTGAATGACCAATTTTATCTGGAGATGTGCCAAAATCCTCAAGCATGCTTCAAAGAGCTTGGCATGAAGATGTAAGATAATAATATTCCTAATAATCTTCACTCTTCACTGCACAAGATGCAGATTATTCAGAACTCTGCAGCTCAAGTCCAGCACTAAGTTTTGTGAGCCAATCACCCCCATCCTTCCCCGGCTTCACTGGCTCCCCATCTCCCAGAATGCTACAACACTAAATTGCATTTATATAGTGTCTTTCATGTCAGGAGGAAGTCTCAATAATGTATTTTTATGTAGACATATTCTTATTGATATTCAGATAAACTACATTCAAACATACAGAAAGAAAGGAAACCAGAGCCACAGGAACCTTCACAGCATCCTATGCGCCCCCTTGAAGAGAACCACATCCTGTCCTTTCTATGAATTCACATCACAGTGGGTGGGTATTTTTGTTTGTAACTACACAACGCTCAAAGTAGTGATGATCCAAACACCCTACATATCACAGTAAACTTATCAAACACATTTTACTTCTGTGACAGGAGATTGCTTGTATCTACCGGATGAATGCAGACCGATGAGTGAAGTACACATAGAATAGAGCTGTAGTAATGGAGGGTGGGGCAAGTATCTGACACTCCCTCATTCTTTGTATGTTGCCAGAGAGATCAGAGAAACTGATCCTCCCTTCACTTAGGCAGCCACCTTTGGGGACAGGAGGCCTGTTCTGTTAAATGTCCCCCGACCTATCCACCCAACCATCAGCGAGCGGACTTTCAGCTATTGTGCCCCCACTCTCCGGTCCTTCCAACATTCTCCCTCTCTCCCCTTATTTAAGAACTGTTTCAAAATGTACCTCTTCGACTGTGCTTCGGTCATTTTTCTCCTCCCCACTTTCCTCAACCCCCATCCCCCCACTCCCTCCCCCAGCTCAGGTGGCCAGCAAGCCTTGTCAAGTACTTTTCGGTCATTCACTTGACATGAAAGGTGCAACCTAAATGTATTTTGTATTGTATAAGGTTATAACTGAGCAGCAGGAGGGTTATAACTCAGCAGCAGGAGGGTGACTAGCGATGAAGCTGCCAGAGAGGGCACTACCAGTGCCCCCAGATGGGTTTGGGCAAAGCCACGTGTTTTACTTTATGGGGGCTCACACTTTTAGAAAGGCTTCTTGCTGCAAGTATAAACTGGCATTGATCCATTCAGCCTGGCATATTGCCCAAACTTGCTGTTTGCACATTGATGGAGAGCCAGTGCCTGAAGAGCTATGGAATCACCGGCACATAGCCAAGACTGCTTTACAAATCAATCTTTTAGAAAGTTTCCTAATCTGAGTACCACCTGTCTCAGGGAAGATCTTAAATAGATACCATATAAACACTCCCCAAGTGATCCTGAGTGTTTCCATACTATCTGCAGGGCTCCCTGCATGCCCTCATCTTGGCTGATATAACAAGATTAATAATAAATAAGCATAATCCTTACATTTCATATTGTTCCTATGACATCTCAAAAGGTTTCACAAAGTTTCTGTGAAATGACTGCTGAATTGCAGCAGGAAAACAAACTTAATGGGATATTGCCGTGGGCAACTGGCTGCCACATTTTGCTCACAAAATACAGTCAATCTACTTTATGGAATATCCTGTGAAGCACTTTGAGACATCTTGATTACATGAAAAGCATTATATCAAATGCAAGAATTATTATGCCTAAAATACAACTAATTGAGTTTGTTATCCAAATGTTAAGTTCCCCTTTTAAAGTTCCTGTTCCAATTTTTATAAACAGATTCTGTGCTAAGTGGAACAACTTCAAATAACATACAGATAAATAAATAATAATATTTACATTTGATATAGTGCCTTTCACGTCAGGAGGACGTCCCAAAGCACTTTTTTGCACTGTGAAGTGCAATGACTGTTTTTCTGAGCAGTCAATGACCATACAGCAGTGTCCCATGGATATCAATGAAGTGAACAACCGATTTTATTTGGGGTAATTGTTGCCTGACACTGGGAGACACTTTGGTTTCGAAAAGTGCTAATGTCCACCGGAACCTGTAGATGGGACCTCGGTTTAACGTCTCATTTGAAGAATTATTCTATTCTAGTTCCTGCTTTTTGGTTCTTATAAAATTTGATCGGATAAAGGTAATATTTGTCTAGTGTCTTTTCTGAAGACAGACTAGGTATGTTGCATTATTATATAGTCAGGAATTGGGATTAGAATTATATTCCGAAATTTTGAACAGTTTTGAATGAGCAGTGAAGCCTTCAACAGGATTGAAATGGGAGTATTCAATCACATATCTATAAAATATTTAGTCCTGTCTTTGCATAACTAGATAGTCATTAGTTATTTTTTTAAATGAGTTCATTAATTTTTCAAAGACAGTTTCTGATGAGAGGCCAGTCCATACCATTTTAACACTGTGAGGTGGTGTTACAGGACAATTTAACTCCTGCATCACTTCAGGCTATTTACGTTTGTACGGTATTTGCTTATCAATATTCAGACACCATGCTTGACAACATTATCTGTGAAACATTTTGCAGCTTATTGACATTGTTGGCAGCATAACAACATGTAAAGATTACTATAATTTGGGGGGAAAAAACAGACTAGTTTGTTTAAATCTGCCTTATTGTACTCCCATTTTTTTATCACTAGAACATCAAGATGGATGACATATAGACTTAAGGCTATTGAATAGCTGATGAGGAAACTGAAGCTTTTTAGAGTCCATGTTCATGAAAGCATGCTCATATAGCCAGAGCTTTATATCTTATTGCAAAATGGCCTACGGAAGGTAATAATAATAATAATACTTGCATTTGATATTGCGCCTTATCACATCTTCAAGACATCTCAAAGCGTTTCATTACAATATACTGTAAAGTGAATTGACTATATTTTGTGGGCAAAAATACAGAGGAGGTTATATGGATAAACTTTTAGGTAACTCTGTGTAACAATGCTCTTTATCACAGTCTATAGCAGGAGTATAAGACAGAGTTCCCAGGCAGAAAGCCTTCACAGGGTCAGATGTCCAGGACATTTGATATTGTCCTCATGTGCTGCCTCTAGCAGGGCAGGATACTTCACCTTTGAAGGTAAAGCCCCTCTTAATAGTGAGCCTGCAACAATCTCAAGAGTGTCACAACCATATTTTGACAGAGCTCAAAGATCTCCTGATCAAACTGAAAGAGGACCTTTTTTTTTGGTCAGTCGGGTGTCTGGTAAATGCGGAAACCCATCACCATGCTTAAAAGTATCCAAACCAAGCTGAGGTTTTCCTGCATCCCACCTACATATGGAGATCCCAGAGATAGATTGTTGCAATGGAATGCCCACTCTCTCCCTGAAGGGATGCATCCTGCTTACCTAGTTCCGGAAAGTATTAGGCGCAGGTTGGCAAGAGCCAGTCCTTGTGCGTTGGGGTAACTGCTGGAGTCTAACCAGCTAAGATCTCATAAAACCTGTCCGGCAAGCTTTTCCGCAGCTACGACCATCCTACCCGTTAGGGCGGAGGTAAGCTCCTTGGAGTTGAACTGGCTCTAAGGTGACATGCTTGGCAATAGAATGTCGGAATTGGGCCAGTTCTCCGTGGTGGTCTCAGTAGTCCGATTCCTGAGCCAGGCAGGTCCGCAGTATTCCGGGCACTGCTGATGACAGCACAGCCTGCCTGGCTCATTGGCAGGAGCTGAAAGGGCAGACCAGTCACTGGGGGCAGGGGGTCATCCCACTCAGCTCCTGTTAATCCTGCAAGCCAAAAAGGACCTAAGACTCTAAATCTACTCTCAAGTTGCCCTCCTACAACACAGAAAACTCCATGAAAAAGCAAGAGAGATATAAAGGCATGGCAACACTCTATGAAGCACTTCAAACAATGACTGGTGCAAACAAAAGAATGGCAAAAAAAAGTAGTAGATACATTACTGGAATAGCAGGTCTTATAATTTAATAAAAAAGAACAAACCCTGTGGTGATTAAATAGGAGTATTTTTCACAGTAGAGGCAGATGTAACAACCTGAGAATCTTCGGGATTTCTGATGAAGTCAAATGCTGAAATATGGTTAAATTCATGGAAGGGATATTAAGTTCTATACTCAAAATTCGATTGATATTATAAACAGGCAGAGCCCATCATCTCACAATTTAAATAGACCCTGAGCAATGATAGTGAGAGTCCATCACTTTCAATCAAAATAACTGATTATGTCCTGAACTCTTGCTGTGGAAGAACTGTGATTCCAAGATTACAGTAGGCCTGAAATTATATACACCATGGCTGTTAATTAAGATGTGTGGTGTAATTTGTGGAGTACTTAAAATAGGACTATTTTTATGTATATGGTAAATTCTGAAGGTTATTTTTTGGAGTAAAAAGAGATCAGCACCATTTTACAAAGCACTAATTGTACACATGAGACACCCAAAAACTATTCCTCATAAAGTGATTCAAAAAATCCATACTTTATTATATTTAACACATTTTTACAGGTACATTTTGTGCTGTAAGCCTGGGTACATATAGTGAAACTAAAAATGACAACGTGTTCTTTTTGCAAGCAATTACAATTGGTCGCATGGATTATTAATTAAAAATATTAAGGTGTCCACCTTCCCATAAATTTGTGCCATCTGCAACATAATTCTGCACAAGTTCACATCTGGTAAATCTCATTTTATGTCGAGGTTACATACTAATTAGGGGATGGTATGGAAGCTATCAATTTTTTGAATTACCTTGAGATGCCAATATATGTTGCTTAACTCAAAGAGGATGGTTTATGTGCCAAGAGTAGTGAACACGTCAGTTCTATTTATTGCAGCGTTGACCTCTTAGGCCACATTTTTAAGAGACTGATGTCATTTCAGCTTCCCCAATGCCTTCATTGTCAATTTCAAATGCATTCCTGCTCCCTAAAGTGTCCTTGGGTGCTGTCTGAAATGGATTGCTGTTCAAAGTAACTGATTCAGATTTAACAAATTCCAAGCTACTCCCTGGAAATGATCAGCCTGTAAAGAAAAGCAGCCTATTGTTCTGCATCTAAATCTATATAATTACTCTCTGAGAATTATGTCTGAATACTGCCATTATGAAGTCCAGGCAAAAAATCAAAACCTAGACACCATACCGCATAAATTCATGGGAATAATCTCAAAGTTACAATGAGATAAGGAGAACATTTCGAGTTGTCTCTCACCAGTTGTTCAAAGTTCTGAAGCCTGTGCTAACTGTTTGGTCAGGAGAAGCAGACAACTTCAAGATTCCAACACCAAATATTGCATCTTCCTTCAAATGGGTGGTAAGGAATGATTCTGAGCAGCACACCATTGGTGAGAATTGTGAGAGTGAGCAAGAAAGGCATGCCATACAGATGAAAGAAATCAATTCCATCTGTCTAGCCAAACAAAGTTTATGTTCCACAACAACCCAACTTTCCAGAAGAAATTATGCCTTGGGGACCACTTGGAGCTTCATAGATGTAGTGTTGTCTTTGGAATGTCCTTAAAACCTATCTCAGCTATTTCTCCCCTTGCCTGCTGAGTTACCTCCCTATGTGGACTCGTGGAGTCCTGTAGCGCAGTGGTTAGAGCACTCGCTTTGCAAGCGAGAGACCTGAGTTCAATTCCAGGCAGGTCAGGGCGAAACCTTGGGCAAGTTTCCTTACTCCACACGTCTAATAATAATCCCTCCAAAAACAGAAAACAATAATAAATTGGTCATTTTCAATCTACGACTGTTTGTGGGACATTGCTGTGCGCAATTGGCTGCCGCGTTCGCCCACAAATATACAGTCAATTCACTTTACAGTGTGTTCTGTGAAGCGCCTGTGTTCTGTGGGACGTCCTCCCGACGTGAAAAGCGCTATATCAAATGCAAGGATTATTATGTTGAACCTAGTCAGTTGTGTAACAACAACAATGTTCTGAGACATCCTTCAGACACAAAAGGATGTAACATATGTCAACTATCATTGTGTTACATTGTACAATAAAGCCATCTTCTTATCTAATAGGAGTTTTCATGTCGAACCACTGAAGTCTGCCTGTGCTTTGATCCAGAAGACTGGCAAAACATAGGAAAAGATATACAAATTATACCAGGGCCCTCCCTAAAACATATGTGCAACACCTAAATCAGCAAGCCTCCTCTGCATTACTACAACCCTTATAGGCAATAATTATTCTGTGAATTTCATATCTAAGTTTCAATGTTCATAATTGCGGTTTGTCAACTTCCGACTATTGTTAATAAATTATAAAGAGTTTAAGGCATTTTGCAAATTCTGTTTCAGAAGATTCATTTCCACTTCAAACTGTTCAGAGTTTAATACAATTACAAACTTGGGGTAAAGACACTTTATACAGGGTGACCAAAAGTCGTGATAGCTACCGTATTATCTAAACAAAATCATAATTTCTTTAAGATTTATTAGACATTGTAATGGTACCACGACTTTTCGGTCACCCCGTATAAGGTGAAAGGCTTCTCAGGACTCCAGGGATGTAGATACCCCAATGTTATAGAATCAGACAAGCCCTGGGAAGGCTCACCCCTCAGTGATGAGTGGGCTTTTGCCCCATCAAAATCACAGAGACATTCTCGCTCACCAGCTATACTGTGGATTGGATAGTGGGGCCAGGAAGGAAATGGGTCAGGTTAAAGGGAAAAACTGCTTTTGATTTAAATTCGCTTTTCAACAAAAATAACAACTTGCATTTATATTGTGTCCTTCGCGCAGGATAGCATCTCTGAGCTTTGCACTAACCCTCTAGTTTTCAGCACTAACACTCCAGTTTTGCCCCCTTCCGGAGACACAGTACTTATAAATTTACTGTATATTCCACCACGTTAAAAGTAAGGTTTCCGGGTAGTACATTTTGGATGTTATTAGTGCAAAAAACATGTTTTTTTCCCCCCTGTGCTAACATCTAGGAAGGTAGCCACGCAAAATGATACTGTTTTGTTTAAAAAAATACACTAATACATCTGTATCCCTTTACGTAGAGATGAAAACACCTCCTGTTGTGAAAACAAATTCGTTTGCAACAACGTTTTTGTTTTCCCTTTGGATGCAACTGTTTATTTTTGGGGGAATTGATTATTTGTTAAAGAATAAAAAAACCCACATGGGGGGTGGAGGAGAGTGGGGGGTGTGGAGGGAGAACCGAATGCAAGAGAATAGTGGTGAGGATTTCTGTGGGTATTATTAACATTATTATTAACGTTCACCCCTGTGGATTGGTATTGCTGTGAGTGCAGAGCAACGACCCAGAGGAAATGTAGCCACACAAGCTTTACGACTGACTCCACAGCACAACCAACCCCCCCACCCCCCTCCTTTTTTTTTAACGTGGTAAAATGTGTACCACCTGAGGATCTGAGCCCCTCGACCCCTGGGGTCCAATGTCTGCAGAGAGAGCAGGTTTTTTTGTTGTTGTACACCAGTGAGATTGGGACATGATAAAGACGTGCATTTGAAAGAAAGACCCCGGTGATCTTGAAGACGTGGAGCAACATCTCCGTCTGCAAATGGCCAGCCCTCTCCCGGCCATGGGAGTGCGTGTGGGAGCTTGGCATTGGTGAGCCAGTGCGCAGGCTCACACTCCCTCTTTACGTGGGTGGGATCAGATTCTCAGGGAAGGAGCTGAGCCTCAGTCGCTGGAACTGGAGAAACAAAGTGCAACATAGCAACGAGCAGAGAGACGAGTGCACACACACACACACACACACAGACACACACAGCCTCTGCCAGACCTCCACCACCACCTCCACCACCAGCAGCAGCAGCAGCAGCAGCAACGCACTCAATGCGCCCTGTTAGGGTCATCTGGAGGAGCTGAGAGGAGAGAGTAAAGAGAGAGAGAGGGAGAGAAGGGAGGAAGGAAGGAAGGAAGGAAGGAAGGAGGGGGGGACTGGCAGTAGGAGAAGAGAAGCTACAGCTAAGCGAGCGCCTGGGACCCACAGGCAGACAGACAGACAGACAGACAGACAGACACAGACAGGCGGCCGGAGCACCAGCCATGAACTTAGTGGAGCCCCTTCGGTGAAGCCACAGAAAGGGCTCTGGTGGTGGTGGTGGAGGAGGAGGAGGAGGAGGAGATGGACTGCGGTTCACTGCGAGATACCATCAGGCGTTGGGTGAGTACTGAACCGGACCCAAAGCTCTGTGTGTGTGTGTGTGTGTGTGTTTGAATCTCAATCCCATCATCACTTTACAGGTGACCTTTCCTGGAGATTAAATGGTGCAAAGCGCTGCCCCGGACCCGGACCTGTGCTCCATGTTCTCCAGCACGTTTCTCTCGATCTTTTAACGAAGGTTGATCTGGTTTGCACAACGGCGCTAATGTGTTGGTGATAACTTTGAACGTCGGTGGGCATTTCATATTCTTAGCGCACACACAATTTTATATTTGAATGGCTTCTACCTTTGGTGGTTGCGGTAATCTGATCTCTCTGTTGGGAGCAAAGTATGTTTTTAGACTGAGTGCCATTTGACAATACAGTGTTACTGTGGGTAACACTGTAGTGTTACATAGTATCATTTGCAGGAGTATTGGTTCCGATTACCTTCTTCAATAAAACATCAGCTCTGAATAGATAGGACAAGGGTTTGGATCAAATTCTCATGTGTGTGTGTGTGTGTGTGTGTGTGTTAAAACTTGGGTGTACTTTACCTCCCAAGAATGCAGCATTTAAATGGTTTAATAATCTCCATTTTCAGTAATAAGACAATCACAGGTGTCGCCATGAAACTTAAAAGGATGAATTGAAAGTGCAAGAGATGTGCTCTCTCGTTATCGGTTACAGTGACACCGGATTCTGTGAAAGGTCGACTCTGTTGAGAGGTGATTTGGTTAAAAACTCGTGGTACGCAAATGAAGAGCGCTGCTGTGTGTTTCCGCACCCAAACATAGTTTCACACTACTCCTACTCGTGACCTTTTTTTTAAAAAAAAATTATTGGGGATTTTTTGATGTCACCAGAGCAAAGGATTGGAGGAGGAAATGCCCTCCCAACTGTTTTTAATAGTGTGCTTTTGCTAACAGAGTTACTCTCGATAAGTCTAGTTATAAACGACAGCTTACCTTCAGTGGGTTTGTCAGCTTACAATTCTTCTTCAAGAAGAAAACTAATGAAAGAACCTTGTTTCGTGTTTGCAGATTAACTTGTTTTTTTGTCTGTGCCAAATCGGATGTGCCCACGTACTGTGGAATAGTTATTTTTCTATTGATTTTAATGCTTAATTATAACCAGCACCTCGGTTAGCTCACAGAAGCTTGAAAACCAACTATTCTTGGACAGATGTTATGATACAATTACTTTGTTTGGGGCTATTATATTCCTTCATGACAGGGTAAGGTATTGTAACCCAGTGGAGCAAAACCACAAGCACAAAGTAAATAAGATACACTGATGTCTTAGCTCTTCTGAACGAGAGTAGAAAGTTGAATTATTAGAATCTCTTTTACTCATTCCGAAATATTGATTGCACCAATAATTAGTGACACTGGTGCCACCACTCTTCTTCTACTGCAGTGATGTGTAAATTGCTGTTTCGGGATTCGAAAAGATTAAACTGGTAACATACAGGATTTGGCTCCTGCTCAGTGTTTATGAAATGAAAATAATCCACTAATTCTTACTGATTTGCTAATATTATAAAATCAGTCTCAATGCCTCTCTTTTTAAAAAGTAAACCATCTGTGTGCTTCAATTATTGTAGATTTTGAGACATGAGATCCAGTAGATTATTCAGTCCTGTGATACGCCTCTGTCTTGTCCCCTCTTTCTGTCTTTAGGTTCTGCCTTAAATCCTAACTCATTGTACGCCTATAGCCAACTCCTTCTCCCCCCCTATACTCAATGTCCAATCCTGTGAAATGCTCTGCCGTTACCCTACACGAAGGACACTAAATTAATGCAAGTGTTTGTTGTGTAATATGCAAGGATGGGTTCAGATTCACTTGGTATGTCGTCGATAAGCCACAAATAAACAAGTTACGGTTTGGGGTTTGTTTTGTTTCCCTCGGGGTTGAGCAGATGGATGTCGTTGCTGATTCTGTTTTGATCTGACGATTATCATATGAGCAGTTTAGGGATAATCCTTCCAGATTTTCCCTTTCCCCTCTGGGAAATATTTACCCCTTAATTAACAGCTACTCATAACAATATCGATGGGTTTGGAAAAGCTGTGATCAGGAGGAATTGAGCTTGTTTTATTTATGCTCTTTGACTTTGAGTGTCACTTTGTGTTAACAACAGCAACTTACATTTATATAACACTCTTCACGTAAGGTAACATCTTGAAGTGTTTTGCCATGACCGAAGCAGATATTGCAGGGATAAGGAAGAGGTGACCATAGGTGTGGTAAAGAAGTAGGTTTTAATAAATGCAAGTTGTTATATTATTGTGGAACTTGAAGATTAATAGGAAGGGAGTTTCAGAGGTTTAAGGTGTAGACATTCTCTTTATCCATACCTCTATAATTGAATATTTGACCAATTGTAGGGAAATTAATAATCTATTTTATAGCTTGTAATATTGTGTAAGTGATTTGGCTACAGAATGAATGAACACTATCTAATTTTAAGAAACATAGATGTTGCATGAAGGATGAATGTTGTGTGTTTGTTCATATCCAAACAAATCTTTTAACCATACCTGGTTCCTTCCATCTCAAATACAGAACAAGCCTCATCAATACAAATCATTTTATTTCAGCTGAATACTTCTGTTAGCACTTTGGGAAATCCTCTTGACGTGAAAGGCACTATATAAATTTGAACTTGAATTGTTATTTTATATTGCACTTTATCTGAAGTGCTTGATTGTTTACGTGTACAACTTTTTTATTTTAATGTAAGTCTGCATTCAATTCTCAATTGACTTACTGTCTCATGCAAAAAGTTGAGTGGTATTCACTTCTTCTCACCCCCTCTCCGCCCCAATGCAAGTAGAGACCACCTGCTTCCCTTCAATGTAGTTGGCTGAAATGTCTGTGTGTTTTGGATGCAGCTCTGAATTCACAGTTTATTCCTCAAAACCTACCAAAAATATTTTTGTGCTATGAATTGTTTTGCTAACAAGAGGGAGTTACTACTGTGACTGCTGCTCATAAAGTTCCATTTTATCTTGTCCAATATTGTTTGAGGGGTTCATGAGTCGGACACCAAATGCGCAATGGTGGATATGATCAATTTTACTTTCCAAATTTGAATGTGGGTCCTACTGCGTCCTATTTTTCTGGTTGCACCAAGACAGTAGAACAAGAGGACATGGTTTAGGGTGGCAATGGGCAATTTCAGAACAGACACCAGAAAGTATTTTTTTTAACCCAGAGAATAATTACACCTGGAACAGGTTACCATGAAGGGTGGTTGAGACTGGGTTGCTGAACTTGTTTTTTTTAAAAAAACAGGTTGAATCCATAATGGGAAGACGGTAGTGTAGATATTCTGAAAGGGTAATGGGCCGAAGGAATTTCTTCATCTGAAGAATCTCATGAAGCCATCTTTCTGTCACAACAATGCAATGAGTGGTGTAGCTCTGTCGTATGCTTAGTGCTTTGCTGTTTTGTGTTGGATGTACAAGAGGGTGCTGAAAGTAGTATACATCTAGGAGGAGTAATTCTATCTGGTTCTTGACAAGCACTCTCTTCCGAGCATTTAAAAGTCTGCTGAATTTACAATTCACTACATTACAAATTTACATTTATAAGTCGGGTGGATGTCCCACAGTGCTAAGAATTTGGCAAATTCTTAAATTCGGTCTTAATTTTGCAGACTGTTTTCCATAGATCATAAAAAAAACATAAAGAAAACTTGCTTGAAAATTAAGACTGAATTTAAGAATTTGCCAAATTCTGCACTTTTGAAATGGTAAGCTAATAGAGTAAGTCGAGGGCCAGATAGAATTTCTCTCTACAGCTCGCAACTGCAACTGGAGCAAAGGCAACTCTTTCTGAGTTGAATCAGAGCTCACAGTATACTGCGTCTCCTTGAAGCTTCTAATGATAAAAAAGACCTGGATTGGCTTTTTTAATAGTACCAGCAATTGGAGGCCCGTGATCAGGACTCTGCCTGCATATGTAAGTAAACACACAGGGATCTCTCCTTTTCAAAATAGAGAATGATCTGAGGAGATGATAAAGTTGTCAGTTAGAACAGCTCCAAACAGGTACCGGTATCATATCATGCACCAGTGGTGTTACTGCACCATCAGTGATTGAAATAATTCAGTGTTTTGATGGTTCAAGTTTGGTTAAACTTACTTAATTATAGTGAGACAAATTGTTCTTTTCCTTCCCCCCCACCACCCACCACATTTGTTTAGCTGCCATTTGCCATAAGCAAGGTAAGTCACATGAATAGAACTCAAAAATAAGGATGTTTGACCTTGATTACACATTCCAAAATACTTGAATGTAATGAGAGAAATGTGCTGCATATTTATACAGTATGAGGGTGCCCTGTTTTAAAAGAATTCATGGGATCCTAAAAATTTCAACCTGTTATAAGCAAAAACACAAAACAGCTACCGGGCAGTTAGCACCTCCGGGTTTGTGAGATGTCATGGGGTGCAGAGCGCAAGTCTACTTCACAGTAATGTATTGCTTGATTGACGTGTGGGTCGGGAGAGAGGAGGGAAGTGGTACATAGAGGTAATACACATCTGGGTCTGTAACCTATCTACCCGATGAACAATATAGCGACGCATTGCAGATCATTATTTTGGAGTTCTGCTGCCTTTTTTGGTGTTTTGTATTTGCATAATTGTAGTTTCCTTTCTACATTGTTATACATCTAATGTTTAATAAACTGGATGAGCTGCATATAGTCAGCACTTCAATATAAAATTCATATTCAGCTTTTTAGGTTAATTATTGATGCACATCATAAATGCTTTCAGTTTATTCACAGTTTTGTTCTGTTTGTGCCGAAAAACAGAGTTGTACTTGCAGTGTGAGGAATATTGTATTGAATGATGGAACTGTCTAGCAGTTAGATCTATAACTCAGTCATTTAATGACTTTCGACTTTGTACTGTGCATTGTTTTTTTAAACAAATCATCAACAAACACTGTTTTTATGCATATAAATCTGAAAGTTACAGATGTAAGTACAAGATGTGCTGACAT